AAAAAACATATTGAGATGGGAAAGTCTGCTGTTAGGGACCTCTCCAAAGTACTGAAGAGCAATGGTGTCTCTCTGGAGACTAAGGTGCATCTGATACAGGCCATGGTCTTTACAATCACTTGTTATGCATCAGAGAGTTGGACAATGACTAGGGAGGATAGGAGAACTGATGCCTTTGAGCTGTGGTGCTGGAGAAGAGTATTGAGGGTACCTTGAACTGCTAAGAAAACAAACAGATTCAACCTGGAGAAGGTTAAACCAGGCTGCTCCTTGGAGGCAAGGATTCTGACATACTTTGGACATGTTGCAAGGAGGGACTGGTCCTTGAAGAGCGACATCATGCTTGGGAGGGTGGAGTGACAGCACAGGAGAGGAAGGCCCCCCTATGAGGTGGATTGATTCAGTGACTGGGGTAATCAGGATGGGTGTATTGGAGGCAGTGTAGTTGGCACAAGATAGAGCACGGTTTAGGGCTGTTGTACATAGGGTCACTATGAGTCGCAAGCGACTCAACGGCACATAACAGCAACAACAACAGCAACATATCAGAGCTGTTTTTAATGATGTTATTCTAGAATGTTTTCTTTCCAGATGATAAGTGAAAAGCTTAAAGAAAATGGTGCCGGGTACCACAACAGGAACAGAACTTTGGTGTTTTCTGAGGTTTTGTTTGGTATTTATTTTTAAGAGTATTTTTTTAGTGCAGTATATGTTTATACATTTTTGTGGTACTTTTAAGATTCTTACAGGGACTCATTAAGTAAAGATGGTAATTGAAAAAAAACTAAAGCCAGCTTTTAAAATCTGTAATAGTGCAAGTTTAACCAAAATAATTTTGAGCAACCATTGAAGTCTTTTGAGGACAAAGTCTTTCAAAAGAAGAGGCAAGGAAATTGCTGGCTTTTTCTTTTTAGTGCATTGTTGAAACATTTGTGGGCCAACGTAGGCTGACTTTCATTGGCAGGACGATGGTGTACTGTCTTGTGTTTTGGAGTTGTTTTTCCATGTGTTAGGACTTAAGCTTTGGTAACATTGGCTTTTTCTTTCTTTTTGATATTATGAGAATGTGTAGAGTTTAATGTCTGTGGAAAGAAGATTTAAAGGTGCCAGGAATTTCATCTGTCTCTGTGCTACCCTGAGTCACCCACTCACATTCTCATGGACTGTCACTGTGGTACACTTCTGTGTACTGCCAGTCTGTTTCTAAGCCCCAAAATTAGGATCATATTTTGCACTAATATTCTAGTATTCTTTATTATTTACTAGTTAAGTCTGGATAGGTACAGTGCCAGGAATTATAAAAACTTATGTAGTCCAGCATATTGGCACTCTCAATAGTGACATCAACTCCTGCTCCAGAAGAAGCTGTAACTCTGAAATCCTGTGTTCTTGTTAAGTGCAACTCAGGGACCCTTGGGAATAACAGATCTGAACCCTGTCCTTTCATGTGCTGTCTTCAGAATTTCTGACCTACTTGGGCCTGTTACTATAGAAACTTTGTCAAACCACCTCATTGAGGGTCTTCCTCTTTTTTTGCTGTCCGTCCACCTTCCCAAGCATGATGACCCTCTCCGAAGACTAGCTTAGCAATGTGTACAAAGTAAGTGAGATGATGTTTACCGTTCTTTGCCTTTTGGTAGTTCATGGACCATTCAGCACTCTTCTCCAACACTCCAGTTCAAAGGCATCAATTCTTCTGTCATCCTTATTCATTGTCCAGCTCTCAGATGCATAAAAAGTGATTGAAAAGACCATGACCCTGTATCAGGCACACCTTAGTTCTCAAACTGACATCTTTGTTCCTCAATAATTTGGAGAGGTCCATGACTGCAGACTTTCCCAGAGCAGTACATATCCTGATCTCCTGACTTCTGATACTAAGAAAATTATTGAGGATTCAAGTAAGATGAAGCCATGGACATTTTTACTCTTTTCTCCATCTTTCATGATATTTTACCTATCTTTCAGTCCAGTGGTGAGAATGTTTGTTTTCTTGACATTGAGATGCAGTCCATATTGTATACTGCAGTCTTTAATGTTCTGTAGCAAACATTTTAGTTACCCTTCACTTTTAGTAAGCCACGTTGTACCATATTTTAGAAAGTATCCCATAATTAAGGGCCAATGATAATGAATGAAAATGTTCAAGCTGTACTGAAGACATTGGCAAAAACAAGGCACCAGGAATTGGTGGAATACTAATTGACATGTTTCACATGACTCATGTAGCTCTGCATGTGCCATGAAATTTGGAAGACAGATGCCTGCCTGATTTAACTGGATGAGATCCATGTTTGTTCCCATTCCTAAAAAAGGTGATCCAGCAGAACATGGCAATTATTGAACATGATCATTAATACCACATACAAGCAAAATACTACTGTAGAGCCTTAAAAACAGCTTAAATATTATATAGAAAACTGCTAGCGGTTCAAGTTGCATTTAGAAGAGGCCATGTTACCAGGGTTATCTTTACTAATGTCAAATGGGTCCTCTTTGGAAGCACCAAAAGAATATCCATTTGTGATTTATTGACTATGCACAAGCATTTAACTGTATGGATCATGATGAGTTGTGGCTAACATTGAGAAGAATGGGAATCCTAAAGCACTTAATTGTGCTTTTGTGAAACCTATACCTAAATAAAAGGCTGTTCTACAAACAAAATAAGGAAACACTTCATGGTTTAAAATTTTAAAAGTTGTGTGGAGAAAAAGAAAGTGTTTGTGTCATAATTGTATCCTTTCTCAATACTTAGTCTGTATGCTGAGCAAATTATTAGAGAAGCTGGACTCTATGAAGAAAAATACAGCATCAGGATTAGAGAAGCACTCATTAATAACTTTTGTTATACAGATTAAATCCTATTCTGTTCCCTATTAGGAGGAATAACCTAGGTGGTTCTATAAAGAATATGACCATTATTGTTTACACTGGGACAGAGGTGTGTAGACCAGGAGGATTCTGAGTAAACAGAAGCCCATGTTCTTTTTGTATATAATAAACAATAATACATTTCTTCATTATTGATAAATATTTGTGAAACTAGGAAAGATGTATAGAAGTCTGTTACAGTTCATTGGTGGATGACCAATGTTGGAGATGAATAGAACAAACTTCCTTGAGCTACTTCATGCCTTATTTCTACATAATATGTTTTGTTCATAGGACATTTATAAATAACGATAATGGCAAGGAACTGTGTTTTCAACACAAAGGCACGTGGTTCAAATCTACCAGCTGCTCCATGAGAGAAAGATGGTCAATCTCCTCCTCAGCAGCTTATGTCTCTGACGACCTGCTGGAGGCTCAGCCATGAGTCCATTCCAGATTGACAGCACATACAGGCCCAGGTTATCCCCGAGAACACAATCCCACTTCAGCCTTAACTGAAATAGCGTTCCTTGAGATTAAAGTGTTATTTTACTGATGTTAGAGATCTTGAGTCAATGACTCACGGTGACCCGTGTGCAGAACAAACCCTGCCTGGTTCCGTACCAGCCTCACAGTCTCTGCTGTACTTAGCCCATTGTTGCAGTTACCATGTCAGTCCATCTCATTGAGAGGTGTTTTATCTTTCACTGATCCTCTGCTTTTCCAAGCATGATGTCCTTGTTTAGAGACTGGTCCTGCCTGATAACATGCCCTAATATGGAGCTTTAATCTTACAGTCCTTGCTTCTGAGGAGCACTTTTGGGTGCACTTCCTCCAAGACAGATTTGTTTGATCCTTTGTCAATCTGTGGTGTATTCAGTTCTCTGTGTCTACAGCATAATTCAAAGGCATCAGTTCTTTGTTTTTCCTTAATCAGTGTGCAACTTCCACATGCATATGAAGCAATTGAAAAGATGACGGCTAAGGTCCAGCCCTCCCAAGAATCACATCCTTACTCCTTAGCACTTAAAAACGGTCCTTGCCGGCAGATTTGTCCAGTGCAGGATGTTTGATGTCTTGACTTCTGCTTCTGTGGGTGTTGGATGTGAATCTAAGTAGAATGAAATCCTTGCCAGTTTCAGTCTTTGCCTCACTAATCATGATCTTGTTGCTTATTGGTACAGTTTGAGGATTTTGTTTTTGTCACGTTGAGGTTTATTCCCTACCGGGCGCTATAGTTTCTGAACTGCTTCAGTCAGTCCTCTTCATTTTCAAGCAAGGTTATGTCATCTGCATATCTCAAGATTAGCAAGATTTTCTCCATCTTGTTGCCGTACAGTCCAGTATCACTTACTCATTATACAGATTAAATAAGAGTCGTGGTGAAAGAATATAACCTTGAGGAACACCTTTCCTGCTTTTAAGCCCTGCAGTATCTCCCTGATAATGTATTATAGGGGCCAGAGCAAATGCTTTCCATTTTGCTGGCTACAAAAGAGTTCTTCCCCGGTTTCCTTTGTTTTGACTTTTATTTTTGTTCTTACAACCTATATCTAAAAACCTTTCAGATCACAACCAGAGTTTAGAGTGGAACACTTCCAGCAGGATCTATATTAACACTTTGGTTACTAGGAGCATAATGTATGGTTATTGTTGTTGTTGTTGTGTACCATTGAGTCAGACTGACCCATACCTGACCCTCCAGTGGTATTCAGAGTCAGTACTCACACAGGAGATTGCCCATCCTTCTGTGTACGAATATTCACATTAAATAGGATAAATACAAATAGCTCTCTATCAACTCAGGTTAAGTTGTACCCATTGGTGGGTTTGCTTTAAAGTATAAGTAACCTTTTGTATTTAGAGTTTCATGTATTTCAAAATTGCAGTTAGGTATTATGAACTTGAATTATTTTTACAGATAAATACGTTTAAGAACTTAATGGTAAACCTTTTCAAGAACGTGTCATTTGTAAATTCAAGGCTCTGCTTTTGTTTTATAAAGTACTAGTATGTGTGTTCCTTAGTAATGAAGAATTTCATAACAGTGATGTTTAAGATAAAATGATTTTTTTAAATGATACAACTTTTTGCAGACTGTAATACTTGCCCACTTTCTTGTTTAGTTCCTGGATGAAATTTCATCTACTGAAACTAAACAGTCCACTGATACGAGCGAGCCTGTGCACCTGAAAGAAGGGTAATTTCATTAACTTCATTACTAAAGTCATGCTTCAGTTGTTCTTGTTATTGTTATGTATCATTGAGTTGGAACTGACTCAGAACTGATTCCCTAGTGGGTTTTCAGAGGCAGTAAATGACACAAGTAGAGATTGCCCATCTTTCTCCCATGGAGCAGCTGGTGGATTCTAACTGTGCTTTTGGGTTTGCAGCACCATTCCTTAGTACTAAGCCTCCGGGGATGTTAAATATGTGCAATAAGCTTGGATCTAAGGATATGTTCTGTGTTTGCCTAAGTTACGTCACTCTTGTTGTGTACGTTGAGTTGGAACCGACCCATAGCTGGCTCTCCAGCGGGTTTTCAGAGGCAGTTAATTGCATGTGAAGAGATTGCTCATCCTTCCTCCACGGAGCATCTGGTGGTTTTGAACCATGTGCCTTTGGGACTGCAGCGCAGCTTCTTTCCACTAGGCCACGTGAGCTCCCAACATGACCCTTACTATAGTATACATTTTAATTGGAAGATACACTTTATGTCAGCTAGACAAGATGTCTGGTCATAGAGCCTCAGTTTTCAAAATACACAGTTTATAAATTACTAGAAAAAGTGGTAACACTATACAGCCTTAAGTATTTTGTTACTGGAAGATAAGAGGGAAAATCGCTCATTTGGCCATTTTTTGTTTTCTTCATTGCATCAATATTAGCATAAAGGTTAAATAAAAAATGTATTCCTCAGTGTAAGTATATGCAAGAGTCATAGGTGGCAAATACATGGTTTTTGTTGTGAATGTTTAATCTTTGAAGCTAAATATCTGTGTCTGTTGTTTTTGCAGTGAGATGTATAAAAGAGCTCAGGGCAGAACTCGGATTGGAAAAAAGAATTTCAAGAAACGGTGGTTCTGCTTAACAAGCAGAGAGCTCACCTACCACAAACAGCCAGGTAGTTGTGTTTATACTTTATTGTGGGGCCTTTCTTACTTCTTATTTGAGGAAAGCTTTTCTAAGAATTTACTGCTTCTTTTTATAATTTATAATAAAGCTTTTTGTAGTTTTATAGTTGGTGTATACACATTTGACAAGTAACTCCATCTAAGTTACATTTTTCTGACTTTTGTGTTGCTGATGCCGTGTAATGTTTTGTTTTCTGACAGATCTCTGCTATTATGATCAACATGTCAAAATAATCAGACCTCTTAGAGCTGATTTAGTAAAAATCAATAAAGGAGACAATGTCAGTGATTTACTATACATTTCCCAGTCACATGATGGATTGCCATGGCTGTGAGGTTATCAATTGTCTCCTAGTCTTATACACGATCTTGTAGCCAAGCTATACAAGCCAGTTTGTCATAATTATTCTTTAGAATGGCTTAGCTGTAATAACTACGTTTGTCTAAATATTAGTAAGATATAAGCAACAATACACATAATGTTTAATCATCCAGATAATTTACTGAGACAGAATGATTCACATGGCAAAAGATCAACCAGCTCACTACTTGTTCGTCCATGTAACATCTTAAAAACTAAGCATTGTTTTTAAAGTAAAAACTTATGTTGGTAATTCTATAAATACTTTCACTTATATGTCTCAGCATTTTGAAAGCAGCTATCATAATATACTAAGTATGCTTACATCACTAGTACTTATAAATAAAAATGTAAGGTAAGTTGGTTATTTTCCTTGATGAGTCATTTTTTTCCTCATTGAAAACATTTTCTAATCTAACCCAACTTTTAAAAATTTTTTTTGTTTCATAGTCTCCTTTAGGAATAAGGTAATAGCTATGAATCTTTACCCTTCGGGAAATGCATGTATAAGTGCAAGCAAAAATTTTGTATGGAGTTTTTCAGGAGTTCATAGTCCCACAGTTCTCAAAACAGACTCTCTATTCTTTAGAGTGATCCTAAAAGAATAAAATTCTGTGAAATGATTAAACTACAAAATGTGCAAATGGTCAACATACTCACTTCCTAATCAAAAGAATGATGGCTCAAGTCCACACAAGAAAGTATCTTAAGAGAAAAACCTGATTTTTCCTAGGAGGAGCCGTTCAGAACAGTACGGCCCACAGTTGTGCTTTGACACAGGTAGTGTGCTCATGAGTCAGCATGGACTAAGCAGCTAGAGGTTTGGCCTAAGTATAAAATAGACACCTTGTTCTTGGGCCTTCCGAAAGCGAGGGTGTTGGAATGGTGTTAAAAGATTATATGTTGGATTTTACAGTTATAATTGTCCATACTTTTTGTTTTAACCATTTTGATGGGTTTTTCTAAAATGTATTTCATGCTACCCTACCTTCTAAAAAAGAGTTCATTGAACGTAAGTTTACATTTTCCAAATGATTTCGAGTGCTCTGATTTAATTATATCTTCAGGGCCTGTGCCGCTGTCCTTCCAAATGAAATGCCTTGAACTGCTTTGCTTTTTATATTCCTGTGTTACTTTAAACAGTTTGTTGTATCCCTGTTAAGTTTTTTTTCTTTCCTCTTTATTATAAAACTGTTGACTTAATTGTTGTGCTGTCAGTGACCGTAATACGACATCTCATGCCCATCTCCTGCACCCATCTCCATTTTTTTGCTGTTACTGTTTGAGAAATGATGCATATACTGTGTGTATTAAAATACTGCATAAGGTTAAAACACTTTACTTTTTTAAATTGTTTTTCTGTTCTATTGGTTTGCATACAGAATGCGTGTGCATGGTATCTTATTCATGTACACTGTGTTTCATACAATCACTCACATACACTGTGTGAAGATGAAAATACTATGATGGCTTAAGAAATTTATCTCACAACTGAAATTCATAGGCTTTGCATTTTCTGTGATTCAGTGGATAGTTTATTTACTTCCCAGATACACATACTGCTAGTTAAGTAGTCCCTCCTAAGTGTAGACGCCATCATTTTTCTGTCCAAAAGAATACGTCTCAAATCTTCTTTAACATAGCTCTGAGGCACTGACATCTTTACTGAGTGCTGCTGAATGCTAGGACTCTGAATCACGTGTTTCCTGTCCCATGACATCTTTACCCAATTCATAGGAAAACTGAGTTAATAGAATTTTCCTCTAATAAGCTCTCAAATTTTTGATGTGTGATTAGCTAAGTTCTAACTAGTGATGGTAATCAGCAACCTTCAGTACAACTGAGTTTAAGTGAGGCAAGTGAAAATTACAAGACACTCACACATTTGTCAGTCATGATTGCTTGACACATCTTTATTGACTTGTGATTATGATTTTCTGTTGTTAAGCTGTGATGTAGTAATTTTCCATAAGTTAGTGTTGTCATCATCATATTCTCAAATCAAACCAATTCTTGATATTCCAGTCTTGTTTTGCCTCATCTGTGCATTCTCCAGCTGATTCGTGGAAGTTCCTTTAATGTCCATGATCTTTTACATTCATGCTTTTGCATAGAATCTACCCTAGAATTCTTCCCTTCTTCACCTGTTCTTTATGCAGACTGTTTATAAGCTTCTTTTACTGTTGGTGCGAATGTGTCTTCATGTCAGAACCAGCTCATAGCTGACCCTCTAGCAGGTCTTCAGAGGCTATATTGCATAGGAGAAAAATATTAATAATTTCTCCCACAAGTAGCTGGTGGATTTAAAAAATGAGTGCCTTTCGGTAGTGCAGCTTCTTACCACTAAGCCAACAAAGCTCCCCTATAACATACAAGCCTCTGCTGTTTGCATGTACAATTGATTTGGAACCAACTCATAGCTGACCCTCCAGTGGGTTTTTAGAGGCCTCTGCCGCTCCGGTTTGTCTAGTCTCTCTTGCCCTTCTGTGTCTCTTGACAGCACTTTAGAGAGAACACTTGTTGCACTTTATTATCAATGATTTTTATCTATTCCTATTCCTAGTCTTTAGATCACCAGTTTAAGGGATTGTGTTTGTACTTACTGGCATAAAACATTTCATAAATATTGTTAATAACTGGTTTTCTTCAGAGAGTACCCTGCTTTCAAATTTGCTATCATATTTTAAAAGTGACTGCTATAGGTTTATAAAATTTTCACCCAACGTACTAATGCTGGTTTGTTAACGAATTCACCTTTGAAATTCTATTCTTTATTCTTCAAATTTTATTAGATATTGTCTACTATTCAGAGACCTGTTGTATACGCAGCTACATACACACAGCTTCTGCAACTGGCATGTGATATCAAATGTTGATATTTTAAACATAAATGATAAATACATTTAGGTTGATATTGTTGTTGTTGTTGTTATGTACCACCAAATTAGAACCAATTCACAGCTGATCCTCCAGCTGTTTTTAAGAGGCAATTAATTACACAGGAGGAGATTGCCCTCCTTCTCCCATGGAGCAGCTGGTGGATTTGAACTATATGCCTTTGGGATTGTAGCACAGCTTCTTACCACTAGGCCACCAGATCACCCTTATGTTGATTTAGTCTTCACCTCATATTCCACATGCAAGGATCTACAATATTTACCTTAGGTAGTTAAAGAACAAAATACATCAGAGATATCATGTATTCATTCAACACATCATTTCTTGAATGCCAACACTCAATGTCTTACTGACTACTGAGAAAACTGGTGACCCAGTGGGTGACCTAGTGGGTTGTGCTTCCAACCTGAAGGCAAGCAGTTTGAATCCACCAGCTGTACTTAGGCACAAAGACAGGCAGTCTCCTCTCAAGCTATTTATAGTTTCTCAAAAGCCCTAGAGAGTTGCCTGTGAGTCAGTTCGAACTTGATGGCATATAACAATAACACTTATGCACCAGACACTGTTCTGAATTCTGGGGGAAAATAGCAGTGAACACGACACACCCAAATCCCTGCCCTTAAAAGTGTTTCCTATTTTACTGGTGATAAACAGTAAACAAAGATAATTTTCAGTAGGCAATTCCTGTATAACAAGTTTGATTCAGTCTTCTAGTCATGTCTGTATGTAAGTCACAACGGTAAATGACAGTCCATACCCCACATCAGTTAATCAGGTGTTTGTCTTAACATAGAAGATTTAACGTATTTGATACACATAAGAAGCAAACACACTGAAACCTCTTTATCATAATGGTGGTATTATTAGGTGCCACTGAGTCAGCTTCGAACTGTGTAACCCTGTGAACTTTGCCCATTCCTGAGTTATCCTCTGTAAGTTTATAATAAAAATGTCAGAAAAGGGGAGGGAGAGGGAAAGATCATTAAGAGCTGGTATCAAAAAAAAGTAAGAATGATTTCTGTCCTTGCTCAGCAACGCCTCTGAATTCTTTGCCCAGTGTCATTTAACTGTGTTTTTTTTTTTTCTGGATTCATTACTTATAAGAAAATCCTTAAAGAATTCTTTCAAACAAGCTTTTGGTGACCAATGAATGTTTTGAGTCTTTACATGGAGGTTGGGGAGAATCTTTATTTCACATTTATGCTTTTAAAAAAATAATGATAAATATGTTATTGTTGTTAAGTGTCATCGAGCTGTAGACGACTCATAGTGACCCTATGAATGAAAAACCTGAACACTTGTATAACTCTCAACGTTTCTCCAAGTTCATAGAGTTTCCAGAAGCAAGCTATTTCGGAAGTGGATGCTACTCCTGCTTCCACGCTTGTTTTAATTGGGGAGCTCCACCAAACACTGTCCACCATGGATAACCATGGATAACCATAACACAGTGTCACAGTGTTCAGTATCACAGCAACCATTAGTTACCTCTGTACAGCAAATGGACAGACCAGTGCTATGCCACTTAGAAGAATGACCAAAAACAATTAAAACCAGGCCTGAGGGCCACATATTAAAATCACCCACCTTTGGCTTCATAGCATAACTTTCTGTCCACTAGGCCAACAGACCTCTTTCGTGGTGGTGGTGGTGGTGGTAGTGGTGGTTGTTAAGTGCCATTGAGTCATAGATGACTCATAGTAACCCTGTGAACAAAAGACCTGAACACTTGTATAACTTTAACAAAATTATTCCCATTTTAGTTTTCTTCACCTTTACAATTTGGCGGCATTAATTATTATTTAACTCTTATCTGAAATGATAAACTAGGAGCAGAATTTAAGATCTGAAGTGATTTTTACCTCAGAACTTTGAGGATTTCCCACTGCTTACTCGCTTCCAAAAATTCATAAGCATTTTTATTTCTAGTTGATTTATTCTTGGAGGGTTTTTTCTTTTCCCTTTTAAAAACCTTTTAGGCTTCGTGTTCTGACTTTACTAGCTAGTATGGAAATGGATATCTTTGATGTCATCTTGTCTTCAGGCATTAGCTTTCAATGGCACAGACCTGTTTTTGAGATGGTCACTAAATTCAAGCAAGATAGACTAAAAGTCGGAGTTGGTGAGGGTGGCACAGGGTAGTGCAGGGTTCAGAGTGCTCAGAGTGTCACTGTGAGTTGTCAACTCGACAGCACAGAATAACAGTATCTAAATATTTGTCTTTTTTTCATCGATCTTGTTTAGCATTTGGTAGATTATTCCAATCTACTATTTCTGTCTTTGTCTTTGGCACGTTTTCATCTGTAGTTTTCTCCTGCATAGTCTTAATTTGTTTCTTGGCTTCTCATTAGACAGATACTGACACTTGTAGATCAGTCCTCCTTGACTCTTTGCTTTTTTCTCTTTTTTTTTGCTCAACCTTTTTGCACTGTATTTTTGGAGCATCCTTTATTTTACTCATTTGCTTAGTCATTTCACTAAACAGCTCTTAACAGTGAAAATTAGCTTACATGACACAATGAAGAGTGTATGTGCCTGAGAACTATGTTTGTGCTTTTTCTGCCTATGCTACCTTATTGAAATGAATTACAATAGCAATTTGACTGGATTTGCATACTTTATACATTCAAATCTAAACATGGAATCCTTGCAGAAATCTTACTGGAATCTTTGTTGCAATCCCATGCAGATTACCCTGAGACACCTCTCCTCCCTCTTCCAGTTTGTTACATCCTTGACTTCCGCAAAAACGTTCTCTTTTATTGGGGCAAGGTGTAAATTGCTCACACCTGTGTTTTCGAATCCCTGTTCACCTGCTCATTGAGTGCTCGGTAATCTCTTGTGACAGACAAACTGTGAAGGCTCAGCAGGTCAGGCTGCAGTGGGCCTGGTGCTAATGTCGTTTCTGGATGTGGATGCTCTCCTTCCCCCCAGGTGTCAGCAGCTCCCTGAGGCTTGACTGTCCTGCAGCCCAGAGCTCATGCTGACTGCTTCAGCCAGTGGACATACTGCCTGCTGTTTAGCACAAGTCCAGGGATGGGGGAAAGCTGGTTACTCATCTTGCTGTGTATGCTCTGGCTCAGAACACTCTTCTAACTACTCGTGTTTCTGTAGAAGGTGCCTCCCACATAAGATGTAAGATTTGACTTCCTTGAGTTCAGCCCTACCCTCGGTGATTTGATCTTGTCAGCTTCTACTAATTCTTTAAATATGCTTGTCTCCTGCTGGTCTTGTCTTGTTTTTACATGTATTTGTGATTTATATTTGCTGAATTTAAGTGTTGTGGTCTCATAATAATTTCTCTCAACATCCAATTTAAAGCAACTCCCAGTTTCTCTCTCATCTCAGGTGATTTTCATGAAAGTATTTGTCTCTACCCAGTATTTGGCTTTTGTTGAAAATTCCTGACCTAAATGAGGAGAGATATTCTGTTTACAATTGTATCCCAGGTGATTAGAACAGTTCCTGGTAGACAGTAGACATTCAGTATATGATGACTGAATTAAGGGACTTTATTTTTTTATATGGGAAGAAGAGGGCATTTAATACTATATCCCTGCCTTAAATTTCACAAATTTTAGATTTCACATCATATATTATAAATCACGTTATATAGTCTGAGTTACATTATAGATTTCATATTATATATTCTATATCACATTATGTATTATATATTCTGGGTTAACCTCTCTGTTCAAGGCAGAAACTTTAGTTAGATAATTGCCTTCACCCCTTCCCCAAAACTATGCATGGACTTACAGAAAATACACGTGTTCACCCCAGGTACTTCAATTGACATTATTACAATAAAGCTTCTATGCCTGGAGGAGCTTTGATATATTTCTAAGAACATTACAGAATGACAAAAAGAGGCAAGAAATATTTTCTTAAGTTTCTGTAGCTAGGAGACAGTCTATTCCAGGAAAAATCTTAAATTGAAATGCATTATATTCTTATGTCATATTATTATGAAACTCTTTTTAGAACAAATACATATTTTCTTAAATTTTAGCCTTTTAAATTATATCAAGGATTTACTCTAGTTAATAAGATTTTCACCTGTGTTCACTGCATCTCATAGAGTAAACTATTATCAGTTGGCTAGCTAATATATGATAGTGCTGACCAGTTTTCCAATTTGTTTTTCTAGAGTAGAATTGTCTCTAATATTTCCTAGCTTGTATATCTTTTTTTTTTAGGGTTTAATGAAAGTTTATAAAGAACTTGGATTTCCATTCATTCATTGTTGCACATTTTCCTCCCAGTTTTCCAATTTTAAAACCTTGTTTAGAGGCTTAATCCCTTAATTAAACATTAAAATGGAGAAACAGAAAAATCCACTTAGTTAGGTTTACTGCTTATGTTATAACAACTTCATGAAAGAAAGTGAGCAAGGTTTGTGGAACCCTCCACTGTTAAATGTGCCTTCTTTTTTTTATACAACTAATGTCACATAATTTTCTTCAGAAAAATAAAATTCCTCTTCACACTTTTACTTGAAAGTAAAGAGAAAGTCACTTTGTAAAAAAAATCATCAAAATGAAACACAGAATATTTGTGCATATCACATTTGAAAATCTATGGGTTTTAAAATTTTGAACAGTTAAGAGGGTGAGCATAAACTTTAAAGAATTAACCTTTGTAATTCTGATGAAAATTATTTTCATTTTGTCCTACTTATGAAACTATTTAGGCAAAGATGCAATTTACACAATTCCAGTAAAAAACATTCTTGCTGTAGAAAAATTGGAAGAGAACTCTTTCAACAAGAAAAATGTAAGTTACATAAATAAACATTTAAAGTTTATTTTGTTGTTGGGTTTTTAAGACACATACTACTTTAGTAATTTAAAATTTTTAAGAGGGTTTTTTTTTCTTTTTCTTAACTATAATAGTTTATAAATTGCTTGCTAATTAAAACTGTTGATGTTTTAAATAGTTTTCTGGAATAGTTAAAAGTATTTTGTTATTGTTTTTTAAGTCTCTGTTACCAACTTCCCATCTAACATTTGAATCTTCATGCAATATTCTCTCATGTCTACCCAGCCTCACCTGCCTCCACTTGTTTGTTATACTCTCAAGCCAGCAGAAATTATTTCCAGTTCTTGACTATTTTTCCACTCCTTATGCTTATTTGCCACATTAGTTATACTTTTTCTTCCAGTCAGAATTCCTTGTCTGTTTCTATTTATATAATTTATTCCTTTGGGCAGGAATAGGTTTGTTTGTTTGTTTAATTAAGTTTTGTTGTTTGTTTACACTGTTTCAGACAAGTGGATTTTGTAGTCTTTGGGATAAACTTGAATAAAAAGTAACAATTTATAAAATACCTTGGCATCAGTTATCAAGCCAAACAAACTAGATTTCTGTTACGTACTTACTTTCTATTTCATACTGTTTGTTGGTTTTCAGACTGTCATTCACTAACTCTTTATCTTAATTGTTTGTGAAGATGTTCCAAGTAATACATACAGAGAAACCACTCTACGTCCAGGCAAATAACTGTGTAGAAGCTAATGAGTGGATAGACGTCCTCTGCAGGGTGAGCAGGTGCAACCAGAACAGGCTCAGCTTTTATCACCCATCTGCATACCTGAATGGCAGCTGGCTGTGCTGTCAGGAGACCAGTGAAAACACACTGGGCTGCACGCCTTGTACAGCGTAAGTGTACTTCCAAGGAGGAGGCGATGTTTTTAAAGTGTGATGTGTCTGTACTCTGGACTGTGATGCAGCCACGAAAAGGCATGAAATACTAATACATGCTACAATGTGAAGAACTCTGAAAACATTCGCTTAAGAAAGGAAGCCAGACACAGAGGCCACAATAGATAACATTGATGTGAAATGTCCAGAATAGATAAGTTCATAGAGCGACAGATTATGGGGTGTTCGCTCATGGGTCCAGGGTTTCTTACTGGAGTGATCAAAGTGTTCTGAAATTAGTAGTAGTTGATCAAATGTCCACATATACTAAAAAAAATTCATGGAGTTCTAAATTTTTTAAAGCGTGACTTTTATAGTATGTGAGTGAAGCTTTAAAAAAAAAAAGAACTTGAGTAAGATACCAAGGAAGCACTTAACCTTCTTTTCTAATTGTTTGAAGCAGTATTTGTAGCCCAATAGACTTATATAGAAATATATTCCTCTTGTTATGAAACTAGGTTATTAAAGTTCTTTCACTTTAAAGTTCTACTCCTTATATGATTGTTGTTGTTATTGTTGATTGCCTTCGAGTCGAGCACGACTCATAGCGACCCTATGAACAAAAGGCCTGAAGTCCCCTATGATTAGAATTACATAATAACTAGACTTCTTAGGCCCATTTCGTTCAACTGTCAAATGGGATTTCTGTAAGTCCTTCTGCCAAAATTCTTTGATTCTGTTTTTAGTTTTAGACCATTGAAAGTCTTCAACATACTACAAGTAAATTCTTTAATAATCCTTCCTTTCCTTTTTACCATAGAGGTATTCCTGCAGACATCCAAATAGATATTGATGAAGACAGAGAAATCGAAAGAATTTATTCCCTCTTTACGTTCAGTATACTTAAGCTGCAAAAAATGGAAGGTAAATAGAAAATCTATTCTAATGTATAATCATCATCATCAGTTTGCAGTGTGTGAAATACTGATTTATCATCATAAAGTGAAAAATACTACATAAAATATAAAATAATATTATATATTATTTAAGTATCACTAAAATGATTCTTAAAAGATAGCATATATTATTTAAGTATTACAAAAATGACACTTAAATGAAAATTTATAAACCCTCACAGGAAGCACTTTTTATGCATGTTTTTGAAATGAAAATACTGTTTTTATGTAAATGTGACCATCCTGATTTGTTAACTTTGTGTATTTTGGTTACCTATGTCTTGCCAAAGAAAATCTAACCATCATGGGGCACCTGAAAAATTTTTACTTTACTCTGAAATTATTTTTTGTGGAATTTAGTTGTCTGACCAGATATTTTATTCCTGTTTACATAGAGGCTTGTGGAAGTATAGCGGTCTACCAGGGACCACAGAAGGAGCCTGATGATTATTCTAATTTTGTAATCGAAGATTCTGTAACAACTTTCAAGACAATTCAGCAAATCAAAAGCATCATAGAGAAACTAAGTGAACCTCATGAAAAGTATAGGGAAAAAAGATCAAGCAGTGCAAAGTATGGGAGCGAGTAAGTCATCTTAAAGACTCGTTAAGCGTACTTTTAAGCATAGCTCACCTCTGCTGCAGCCATCTAGAATGCATACCTCTCACTTTTCGTCATTCAAGACCTAACTCAGAACTACGTCTCACCAGGCAACCCTGGCCGCTCAGCGTGGCCTTTGTCTGTTTCAGTTCTGCTGTCACTTTGTTGTGCTGGTGCTCCACTTCGTCACCTTACATCTTCAGTTTGGTTTCATTATTTGAGTATTTAGAGAGCTTTTCGGTTTTACCAGTCTTCGTCATTTTTTTCTCTTTGTTGTGGTGCCTTACACATTGTCATTGTTTTCTTTGCTGCCATTGCTGACAGGTGCCCTGGAGTTGATGCCACCTCACACTAGCCCTGAACAAATCCTCTGTGACAGCCCTGAAACCATTTGTAGCTCCTTTTCTGGATCCTTCCTAATTGTGGATAGAAAGAGCAATGCCCATTTCCTAGCTGATGGCATGCAGTACTGGATAGCTGGCTTAGTACTTGACGTCTCTCTCGTGTAGATTGCTGTGAGCCACAAGTCACAGAAACCCCACTAGAAGGGACATAAACAGTAGGAAATATTTTAATCCCACAAAATAAGCCCTAACTTCTAGATTTATATATTTCTTGGCTCAACATTGTCATCAAGGATCATCCATCCTTCTCTCAGCTACCCTCAGCAAGATGACTTCTGTCTCCTTCAAGGTGACCCTCAAAGTCATAGGTGGTTAAGAGCCACATGTTTTCTAGTGCAGTGTCCAGAGGGAGAACTAAACCCTCCCTTGTTTTAAAGGACTCTTACCCACAATTACCTCCAGCCTTCCCCAGAATGCCAGACTACTTACCTAGAACAAAATCAGGCTTATTTGCAGAGAAGTTAACAGGATGGTCTGTGGCTTACCATTGTGCTATATCTGCCATGATATGATCTCTCACTTATCCTCACAGCCGACCAACATATGTTTATCCCCGTTGCTAGAGAAATTGAGGCTAAATAACTTAAGTGCCTTGCTGACAGTCACACAGCTATTAGTAGAAGGGGCTTTGAATCTTGACCCAGTCGCTTGAAGTGTTTGAAAACTGTGGATTAATTAGATCACTGATGTTTAAGTAACAAAATTCAGTTATACATGTTTTTTTGTTGAGGTTTTTTGTTTGTTTTCCTTTTTCTTTAAATAAAAGGGAATAAGGCTCAAGGCCACCAGCTGCTCCATGGGAGAAGGATGGGCAATCTCCTCCCATGCGATTAACTACCTCTGAAAATTCACCAGAGGGTCAGCTGTGGGTCGGTTCCAACTCTATGGTACACAACAGCAACAACAAATAAAAGGGCTCAGTAAAAGGTTATTTTAAGCATCCTAACACTGCCTTCCCTGGGTTTAATTCTCTTTTAGCAGAAGTTTATGGAGACTTTGGCAGTTTCTATAAAGAGGTCCTAACCAATAACTGACTAACCACCCTTCTTAAATAGTATTCCCTTATTCTTGTCCATAGGCACTTAAATACTACCCCTTCACGGCTTAATTTTTATCTGTTAAAAACTACCGATTTATGAGATACTAAATACTTGTTTCTTTTTGCTGTAGCCAGTAAGCTCCATGCGGTCAGGAACTCATGTGGGCTTTATTCACTGTTTTAACCTGAGCTTCAACTCAGGACTTGATCATTAAATACTTGTTGAATTAATGAAACAAGACTTAGAATAAGATTGTCAAGAAAGAATTATAGATGTTTAATGGCCTTTTTATCACTTATAAAAAATGTTTTTTTATCCAACTTCTGAAAATTCTCTCCGTTTATGTTCTAGGGAAAATCCAATTGTTGGGAAAGCATCTTAGAATTTAACCGGTTGATTCTGAAGAACTGGAAAATATTCTTTTTCTTGGAATTTTTAAGTTTATCATATATTTTGTCCAGAGTATTTAAGAATGAACTTTGGCTTCATTGTCCCCTGTGTTCATGTTGTATTTAATATTTAATAACTGAAAATTTTAACTGTTTGGAAATCCTGATACTGTTTGTTTTCTTCGAGAATCTGAAATCCAAGATTCCCTTTCTATCTCGTGTGTCAGAAGCCATGTTTCTGCAACTCCTTTTTACTAGAAAGAATCTTCCTGAAGAAGATTTGGAAGAAACTTTGTGAAAAAGGGACCACACACCTCCACAGCAGGAAACCTCGTCTTAGAACACTCTGTTCTGTGACCATTAGTGCCTGGTCTGTGCTGCCAACATCATGTTCATTAGAAAATCCCAAACCAGGACAATTCAGAGCTTCCCAAGACACTCGTTTCTTTCAGTTCTTAATCTTACAGGTGACTTTAAGGGACAGTGACTTTAGATTAGAAAACTGCTAAACTGTCCTTGAAATGGAGAAATGTCTTTTTTTTGCCTGTCTGTAGATGTAAACAAGAGTCTGCAGAGTCAGGGAATCTCTGCTGTTGTTGGCATCTTGTTGACATTCAGGATGCACATGGCAGATTAAGTAAAATGAAACCACTCAATTTCCTTTTTTTTTATTAATATTATCTTGAAGATCAGGTACTCCTTTTCTGGATTTGCGAGTTCAGGTTAACATGATGTCTAAAGACACCTCTCCTGGAAAAGGAAACGAAACCGTGACATAAAGCGGTGGGGGGGATCACGCAGGCCCGCCCACCGCCTCATTTCATCATCAGGCGTCCTCCACGGTGCCCTCCTCATGAGCTTACAGCATGACCTGACTCGGAACCATCACTCGGTGCACTTTAAAGATTTGGGCTGCCCCAGATTCTACTTTAGATACTCTGTGGTATCTAATCTTGATGATCAGTTAAATGATCGGTCTTTTAAATATAAAAATAATGCTTTCTTGACAGATGTTTGTATTTTGTTAATGCTGGCTAAATGGAATCTGGATAAGTAACTGTTGGAATCCTGTTTCCCCTTGTAATTCCTTTTTCTTTACAAACAGTAATTGCAAATAAGTCAAATCAAGTTGCCACCTTAATGTTAAAAAGGAGTGGACTTTATTTCATCAGTATTAAAAACTATGGTACTTTTTTTTTTAAAGTTCAGGACATTTACTAGATTTACTAGGTACTTTGGCTCTGGAGTATTTATACACGTTTCTGTTTAAAACTGTGACCTATTAATGAAAGTCCAGCTAGTAGTGCTTTTTTTGTTTCCCAGAACATAAGCTATATTTCAAGACACACTTGGGAAATTATGGTACTAATTGTAGATAATAATTTTTAAATCATCTTATTAAGTAACAATAACAAGATAACTTAAAGGCCATTGGGATTACAGTTAGAATTTTCTATAAATGATTAAAACTGAGCAACAGGTTTTCTAAATGACTTGTAAACGTCCCTGGATTCTACTTAAGGAGCAGTTCTAGTCTGCTTTACGATTGATTCCCTGTTACTCCTGGTCCATTTTCAAAACAGGTTTTAAAAGTCCTTCAAATTTTGTGTGATTATAGACTGCATATTTACAAATCAATTTAAATGAAGAATTTAAACATTTAGTAAATTTCTTCGTCTTGAATATCATTCCTATTAAAACTTCCTTTTAGACTCTGAATATTTTTTTATCTGAAAAGGATGTGAGAATTTCCTGATACTATTCATTATTTTTTAATGGCTTTTATTCTTCGGCTGTTTTTTAAGACAAAAGAAAATAGTCTTCTAATATATTTGTTGTTGTTTTTGTTGTTAGATGTCGTCAAGTGGCGTATGACTCATCCCCTTCTAATATAATAATAATGTTCAGATATGATTAAGACCACAACATAATCAAAAGGACCAAAGCTGTATGGATAAGTAACTGAATTTGAAGAAAGAGTTCAGGGTAATTTTCATGTGACACTTTTAGCCAGTTTGACTAGAATTAACCAGTTTAGCACAGCTTAAGAGGAAATAATGTGAAATTAAATTCTTTTTTTCCTTGAAAGTCTTCTGAAATGAGAGACTGTGTCCACAGGACCATGAGTTAACCAAGGTACTTGTTTCCAGTGGCCTCATCCCCTGCCTTTAGTCATGAGTACTTTTTATTACCTAATCTTTTCTCTGCATTTTTCTGTTTCTCAAACAATGCATGACATCTCACTGTACTAAAAACCTGATGTTCTGTGAAGTGGGGGAGAACACTCTGAGGAAGCTCTTAACCATAAGTGCTAGTTCTGGCTTAGTCATTTGCATCAGTTGAAAGTGTGGTAATGTTACTGGCTTTGTGGTTGTTATTGTTTGTTTTATGTTTAGTTAGTTTTTTTTTAAGTCTATATAAATGATGATAATAACTGAAATTGGGGTGTTTTGTTTTACTCCTAGGAATATAATTTATCAAATTGAACTATTTTCCAAAGAAATTTGTTTTTAATACCATGGGTAATGGTTCAGTGTCAAAATTAAGAGGCTTTTTTTAATACAAAAAGGTGACACAGAATTCAGCCTTTGTTTCTTTTCTGAAGCCTGATCTCATTTATTAGGCTCATTCATGCCTGATTATGAAAAACCGTTTTTGTTTTGTTTTGTTTGTGTTTGTGTTTGCTTTGTTTGGTTTTGTTCTTAACTGAAACACTTTTCCATTTGCTCTAATGGTAACATCATGCAAAGACAGAATGCTCATGAGCCTTTCAGATGCCTTTCCAGTGTATGAGCAATACGAGACTCATTCTAGAGTTAAACACCCAGACCTGGTTGATATTCTGTACTTCCATTTTGGTTAACTTTGAAATTAATATGTTGCTAATAAATATGGGTTTTTACAGTGTCCAATTTGAATATGTAAGTTATCAAGACATAATTGTAGTGAGTTTATGTAACCATGTTACATTGTTGAAAAATGTATTTTATTTAAATTTTATTTTCTTATCAAAGGTATTATAAAAATTTAAAAACTTGTAATAGTCACTTGGAAATAACTAAAATAAATTACAAGAAGACTGTCTATGCTTTGTGAGACTCTACTTTCTTAGATATTTCTTTTTAAAGTGTATTTGATACTGTGCTTTGTCTGGTAATGAGAAGTCACTGATAACAAAAAAAGAATGAATATGAAAAACACTTGTTGTACTTCCTGGAACTTAATGAGGCCAGCTCTTGATGAACCTTGGCCTTACGTATTTTGTCATTTATTCAGCAGACAGTATTGAGGACCTAGATTGTATAGCACAGTGCAAACCTCTGTCATTTCTTAGAGCTACTAACTGGATGAGCAAGACAGAGCTAAAGCTTTCGGTCTGACTTTTAAAAATAATCTCTCTTTCTGTTCTTCTCAAAATATGTCAAATCAGAAGCTCTAGTTAATCAGGCATGTATTTCTCCATGGGAGCCACTGGAAGTTTTTGAGCAGTAAATTGATTGTAATGACTGTGTGTTGAGAAAAGCCTCAAGGTGCGCATGAAAAGAAGTAAGCAGACCAAACAAAAGGCTTGGAGGCTTTTTCTCTCTCAGGTAAGAGATAATTGTGGCTGGATTGAGTGTGTTGGCACAGGGAATGGTGAGAAGTAGTCAAGTTCTGGACAATTTGTTGACAGAATGAGAGGAGTCTAGGAAGATCTAAGCCATTGGAAGAAATGGAGGAGTCATTCACTAAGATGGAGCAGATCAATCCTAGGAGGAGCAGGTTTGAATGCCTTCTCTCTGTCCATGTTAATAATTCCTGGAGGCCAACCCATGAAAATCTCTTCATATAGGAGTCTCTGAACACATAACTGCATGCTCTGTAAGACTTGCCACCTTTGAGTTGCTTGTAGTCAAACCTGAGGACTGGAACAGAGTGATTGTGTGTGAGTATGTGTGTTTCTGTGCTTCAAAAAGATAGTTGGCAGTGTCTAGAAACATTTTCCAAATGACCAATCAGCTTACGCCTGATTGTTAACAAAAAAAAAAAAAAACCCCAAACAAAACCTGACCAGTTACAGCCAACTTTCAGTTAAATCAAAGCAACTCTCCAGAATCCAACTGCTTCACACAGAGCTTCCAAACCAGAGACTTAGGGCCTAGCCAGCATTTAGATACAAAGGCCTGCCCAACTGGCCCTGATTGATTTAAACCAGAGGGTTCCCGCCCTCAGCTGATTGTTAACTGAACCCTAATGACCAAAGACTTCATAGTGTTAAGTGGCTCAGCACTTGTCTGTCAGTTTGCTGTACTGAGATAACCTGGGGTTGCTGTGATCCTGAACACTGGTGTGTCAAATGCCGTAAGAGTTACCCAGGTTGGACAGGGTTTGATAGAGCTCCCAAATTAAGACAGATTTGGAAGCAGCTTTGGCATCTACTTCTTAAATAACAGGCCTTTGAAAACCTTAGGAACACTAGAGAAATGATGATAGTTATAGAACAGGATTCACCACTAGTGCTTAATTTTGAAAAACCCTGCCTTGGAAGAGACCAGAAGTCATTACTGTTCACAGTCTCTACCAGGAAACCTGTGTCTATGGAATAACAGGGTTTAGCACAGTGGTTAGAGCACAAGACTCTCAACATAGACCAGAAGCTCAACTGAGTAGCTTTGGACTGTTAACGTAATCTTTTCAAATCACAGTTTCCGAGTGTTAAATAGGATGGAAAACTATCTGACATATAGGGTTGGTATGTGGGACATAAAGTCACACAGCTTAAGGCTTGGAGCCCACAAGTCAAGCGTTCTCTTCGTTTCAAGCCTTTGTGCCATCAGTGGAATCTAAATCTTTCTCCTCAGACATAGGCATGTAAGGAATCTGGTAGGCATATAAGGAATCTGGGCTTCTCAGATTTGGGAGCCAAAGTTAGTGGTCCCAGATCCAACTCCTAGAGAATATGTCTTCACTTGCTGGCACACTCTCCAGTTCTTTGTTAAGTGGAGACAGAGGCTCTGTACTTCCATCATGTGGTAGTGTGCAATCAACTGTGTGGGCAGTGGTAAAGGGTAACACTCGTAGCAGGGCCATTGATTATTCCAGGCCCCCGCATCTTAATTTCTTTGCATAGGGCATCCACTCTTGTCATCTGCTCTTTTCCATTGAAATCATAATGGACAATATTTTTAATTGGATCTGGCATTATCAATTACAGACCTTCATCTATGAGTTGATAAATAGACTGACAGACAAATATGTGTAAGTAGATGAAACTACATCTACAGCATCATTTGTCACAACATCATGTGGGAGAGGACGTTCTGGTGGCCAAGGGGTAAAGATGCAGTGCTGCAATCTCAAAGACACAACAGTTTGAATCCACCAGATCCTCCATGGGAAAAGGAGCAGCAGTCTCCTCCCGAGCGACTAACGGCCTCTGAAAACCCACT